ATTTTTGCATCCTGTTTACTGTGTACAAGGTTGTCATGTCCTGTTTTAATAAACATAGCAGTAGTCGTACTATTTATTAATGTTGCTTTTACCAATCCCTTTTATACATTATGTTAACCTATGTAAACATAAATATGTGTTTTATAAACTTGGGTTTTTTTTTTTAATGTTTATTTATTTATTTTGAGAGCAAGAGAGAGAGCATAAACGGGAGAGGGCAGAGGGAGGGAGGGAGACAATCCCAAGCAGCCTTCGTGCTGTCAGCGCTGTGCCCAGCACAGGGCTCAATCTCATGACTGTGAGATCATGACCTGAGCTGACATCAAGAGTTGGGTGCTTAACCAACTGAGACACCCAGGTGTCTCTAAACTTTGGATTTTAAGGTATTGTTTCATGAAAATAGTTTATTTATCGAATATCGGGTTTATTTCTTATTTTTTAAAATGTAAGTCTTTTACTGTAGCTGAGTGTTTCTGTATTTGATTTTTTAATTGGTTTATTTATAGGAAGGCTTTTGTAGGCTTTTTTATAATTGATGTATATAGAACAGTAAACATTAACTTGTCTTTTTTTCCTGAAGACCATGTGAGAATCCTTGAAGACAACTTTAAATAATTGACTGTTTTCTTTGCAGGTTATAGTTATGAGTGCTACCCTGGATGCAGGGAAATTCCAGATTTACTTTGATAACTGTCCTCTCTTAACTATTCCTGGGCGTACACATCCTGTTGAAATCTTTTATACTCCTGAACCAGAGAGAGATTATCTTGAAGCAGCCATTCGAACAGTGATCCAAATTCATATGTGTGAAGAGGAGGAGGGAGATCTTTTACTTTTCTTAACTGGTCAAGAGGTATCGTCATTGTTTGCTTCATTATTTAGCCTTTAAACATATTAAATTATGCAACTTTTTAAGCCCAAGAACTTGGCATATATTAACCACATATTTCTTATCCCATGGTATAAAGTTTCTCTTCAGCCTGATTGCATTTATATATGAAATACATAACCCCTTTGTATACTCTGTGGATACCTCTGTGTCATTAGTGTTAATTACCCTGAGAATAAATTGTTTTAGAATTTCACGATTTAGCAGCTGTAGTCTCGACTTTGGAGAGACCTGGGTGCGGTAAGTAGTGGTGTGTGGTAATTTGCAGTTTTGCTGAGGTATGAATTTGATCCACACAACCCCTGTGAAGTCGGGTTGTTAGCTTGTGAATGAACTTGAGTAACTTGGATGCCCATCCAACGTCAGAATGAATGTTTGTGTTTTGGTTTGGTCATCTGTGTGTGCGCTGAGGATTGTAAGAAATCGTTGAAATTTTTTAGTTAGAATTTACCCGTTTTAAGATACACGTTTTATTCTCAGGTGCTGCATGTTTTCAACTTCTTTCCCACGGTAGCTTTATAGGTGTGCTGTGACATTCTGGAGCTGAAGTTGAGGAAAAAGCTGTCTGGATAAATCCGTTTCAGAGAGCCTTTTGGTGGAGGCTGTTCTTAGAATTTGTCTTCTGTTTCAGTAGGCTTTAGGGGTTTTCTAGAATGTGCTTCTCAAACTGACATACGTGCAGATCACGTAGAAAATTTGCAGATTCTGATTCAGTAGGTCGGGTGGAATCTGAGACTGTTCCTGACAAGCTTCCAGGTAATGCTGAAGCTCCCCAGGTTTGAGTCGCACAGGTTCTAGAGCGGCGTTGTTCTGTTAGACCTTTTTTCAGTGCCACACGTGTTCTGTAACTGTGCTGTTCAGTGTGGTAGTCAGCGGCAGCGTATGGCTTGTGAGTGTTTGAATGTGGCTAGTGAGAGAAAGGACTAAATTTTAATTCTACAGCATTTGAATGAAGAGCTACCTGTGACCACCCTTTTCCTGTTTCAGTTTTTGTATGGCCCATTAGTTAAGAATTTTTTTTTTCCGTTTTAAGTTTGTTTATTTATTTTGAGAGAGGAGAGAGTAAGAGTGCGGGGGAGGGGCAGGAGAGAGAATCCCAAGCAAGCTCCTAGTCGCCAGCCTGGAGCCCACACGCTGTGAGAGCGAGACCTGAGCTGAAACGAGAGTGGAACACTTAACCGACTGAGCCACCCAGGTGGCCCTGTTTTCACATTTCTGAAATGTTGTAAATAAGACCAAACAATGTGCAACAGACAGGCTGTGTGGATGCAAAGCCTGATGGTTTTGGCCCTTATGGTAAAAGGTCTGACCTCTGCCCCAGAACATTTCTCAAGTGTGGCCAGTGGACTGCCTGCCTGGGGAAGGAGAGTTTGTTAAAGCAAGTTCTTGGTCCTGTTCCAGACTTGCAGAAATAGGTGAAACCTGAGGCCAGATATAGGAATCTGCATCTTTGATGAGGTCTACAGGCCACTTTTATATTTCCTTAGGTTTAAAGGTCACTGTCCCAGAGGGATGTTTAAGCCTGTATAATTCCTGTAGTACGTTAATGACACAACTCTGGACAGGGTTGTGGGGAATTGCCCTAGTTCTCCCAGATACCAAAATCTGAGGTCTTCTGTGTGATTGCCTGCCTCTATTGGAATGTGAATTACTTGATTTGTATTCAGTTTCTACGGGAATGCTTGGTATACATAATATTTGAGCAAATGCTATTGCTTTAAGAGCTAGAAATGTTGAGTAATTGTTTATCCCTGCATTTCTTCAGTATTCATGTAATTTACGATTTGTGCCCCATTGGCCGTGGTTCCTTTTCTATAGAGCAAGGGTTTTCAACCTCAGCGCTGTTTACCTAGTAGTTCAACCAGTATTTTTGTTGTGGGGCGCCCTGTGCATTGTGGCATCTTTGGCCTTATCCGTTAGATGCAGTAACATTCCCTCCTCCGGTTGTAGCAACCAAAAATGTCTGCAGACATTGCCAGATGTTCCCTGGGTGGAAAATCACTCCCATTGCAGTCCTACTTTTTCTTTTGGGATATAAAACGTGTTGCAAATTCAGTTTTACGGATACACCTCTGTTGGTACTAGTCTTCCTTTCTATGTGTTTTGAATGGAAGAATTTTTATATATTTTGTAAACAAGAGTACCAAATGCTTTTTTGATGGCATATAAACAGTATTTATGCTCTGATGCAGTGTTTAGGTTGTTGAGGTCTTTTTGTCCTTTTGTATCTGGTCTCTAGTTTCTTCATCTAGAGTGCATAGTGTATTTTCTTAAACGGCTTCTTAAAATAGCCATTATATTCAGATAACTAAGCAAATTAGAATTTTATCAAATATCCGATGGTCTCATGAAAGGCTTTTCTATGATTTAACTTCATATACTTGATATTTTGGCAGCCATCCCATATTTGGGGAAAGGGAGTAAGCCCCATGGTTTTCAGATGTGTGCTGGAGTGTGTGTTTTCCAGTGAAGTTATTAACTGTAATTGTGAACTAGTTTTTATGTGCCCTGTTATATTTTTAAATACCCTTTGGGTGACTAGGTTTGAATTTTGAAGATCTTTAGGGAGAAAGTAGCAGAGTACCTAATGTATTTTGTTTCACTGATTGTGTTTAGTAGAGCTGACTCAAAGACATACAAAATACTATTTTTCCATGGCTGTGAATCTGTGTTACTTTTACATGGTCAGTTAAATGGTAGATTCCTAGAATTCTCCGGACTCTTGTCTTCATAAATTTGAATAGCACCCATAAAATTTAGTTTTCTCATGAAATTTTAAAATGATTTTTTACGAGCATTTTACCATTTTGACCACTTAAACAGTAATGCTTGTGTGCTAATCTGAGTCAATTTGGGTAAAGGAGATCAATCTTAATTGGTGAAAGGTTGGGAAGAATTTGAATTCTAGAATTTTTTTGTGTTATTTTATGTTAATGCATAAAATCTGGACTTATGATTAAAATTAAAAGTCCTTAGGGAAGCTATACTTCTGAATTAGATAAGAGTGATTGTAACTGAAATATCAATTGTTTGTGATATGAAGATGTTGAAACCATTCTTAAAGCAGCACGTTCTTTTACCGTGAATTTTGATGAATAAAATATCTTTTCCATATGCAGTGAGTTCAGCCTCCTCAAATTACTAGTCCAAATTTATTTATTAACCTATATTAATACTTTTGGAGCTGAAAGTCGTAAAAACTCCTGAGCTTCTGTCTCAACACTCAATCTTGCTCAAAACTAACAGATGGTTGCTTTATGCTGATGAATGTCAATGAGTTTTGTTCTTTTCTGAACTTCCCATGTTGACTGTGGGAATTTGGTAAACTTAAGGAAAAATTTTGTTGCAGTTTTAAAAGTGTTTAGAACTTTGCTTACATAAAAAACATAAGTGGTGTTGGAATTTTTTCCTCTCAACTTTAGAGATATCTTTATATCCCATGCAGTAGTGCTTTTGTTTTAACTCTGTACACATTTGACAGATTGGATAGCCTAGTCCAAGTAAAACTGGGGTTACCTTGTTAAAATTCTGGAATCTGCAAATGTACGATTTTGGGTACTTTGTTTTCTGATATATGACATCTGGATGTTTGCTGGCGTTGGACCTTTTATTGTCTGGTCAAATACATGTTTAATTAAGTAAATTAAAAACATTCTGGATATTGGAATCAGTTTTTCCTATTTTCTTTTTCTTAATTTTAGAAAAAAACTAACTTGGGGCTTATATCCAAATCTTTTTGATTTGGAAGAGATATAATTTTGTATTTGCATACCAGCAGGGGGCATTCTAATCTAGATACAGCATTTAAAAGCTTTTTTTTTTTCCCTAAAAATATTTGTTCTATTTGTTGTAGTTTTTCTTTCAATCAGTAGCAGTCTTTGATTTTCTTTTAAAACTTCAGATTTCAAAGGGAACTATTAACATCAAGTCCTTAATAGTAATTTTCTGTGTGATAATTTTCTAAGACCCTTATCTTTTTTTTAAGGAAATTACTGTATTTGAACGAGAGGGGAAAATTTTTGTTCTTAAGTGCCCAGAAACTTTGTATTCTTTAGCATGGAAACAGAATTGCATGTTGATTTAAAATCATTTCAAGGAAAATCATTTTAGTTTGATGTAATAAAAATACAGACTACATTTACCCGATACATTTTCCCCCTTTTTTGTTTAATCATTCTGATTTTTAAATAAGAGATACTTTGTTGACAAAGATAGCTTCTGATTGGGTCATCCATTGGATAGGCTTCCACATTATTTAACATACTTCTGAGTATAACCAAATTAAGGTTTCAGTAAAATTTAAATTTCTGGGTCCCCCCCCCCCCATTTTTAAGTCCCCTTGCCACTCCCTTAGAGCCTTCACCTACCTCTCATTTTCTGTCTCCCACACTCTGAGTAATCATTGTGTGTCTTCTCTTTAAAACCTGGATTTGAATGAAAATGCATTGCGATTATATTCTGTGATGGAGAAGTTTTTGAAGATGCTAAATTATTTGGGTTAGCCTACTTCTTAAATATCTGTGTTGATACTGTAAAGGTGTTTGTTCTCATTAGGCACAATGAAGCAAATCTTCCATATAATTACATTAGCGATACGTGACATTAAAGCCTAATTGGCTTATTTAAAAAATCTAGCACATCAATTTCTTTTAGATTGTGAAAATTGAAAAGGTTATGAGTGCAGTTAAATATTCCTGGGTGAGAAATTTCAATTTTAGTACAATTTGTTGAGAATTAATTAGGACATTTGACTAGAAGAAAAAGAGTGTGGAATGCCAATAAGATAGTTATCTATTTATTTGATTATAGAAATGAAAATTTCTTCAGTAGTTTTGGAAACCCAGTGAGGTTTACCTAGTTTGGATTTACCAAATTCGAAATAAGCTGTACAGAATTAAGATAATGGTAAATACTTACATGTTTCAGTGTGTATTTGTTGTTTTTACACTCAGACTTTTATTTTGTAGGAAATTGATGAAGCCTGTAAGAGAATAAAGCGTGAGGTTGATGATTTGGGCCCTGAAGTTGGTGACATTAAAATCATTCCATTATACTCTACACTTCCACCTCAGCAGCAACAACGCATTTTTGAGCCTCCGCCTCCAAAAAAGCAGAATGGAGCGATTGGAAGAAAGGTTAGCATAGAAATGTTCTCTGTAAACATTTCATTAATACAGAAAGTGTATTGAAGTATGAAAGTATGAGATATGAAAGTATATTGAATTATTAAGGACTAAGTGATGGGTGATAGTGATCTGGATTGCACACTACAAAATCTGTATTTCAAATGCAAATATTAAACCTTATATTTAGGTGGAATTTTGCATAACTTTTGACTGTAAAGTAAGAGCATGTACTGTTTCCCATTCCCTCCTTATTAAATGGGAGTTTGATTAGGATGGCTAAAGAAAAGAGGGAGATGGCCTAGTGTTGTCTTTCTCTCCATTAGTAAGTGGATTTCTTTAGAGCTCGAATGTAGATTCTCTAAGTATAGATGTCTGCCTGGCATAGGAAGGGAGCAAGGGTTTTCCAAACCTGTTTCTGGGCTCTTTGTTGGGATGGGAAGGGTATCTGAGTTCTAGTTTGAAACAGAACAGCTATCCTTTTATTTTTTTTAAGAGCTGGGTGTTCTAGTAGATACTTTGAAAATAAAATTACATTGCTTGAAAAGGTTTGAAAAACACTAGTATAGTGGAGTCAGTCATTAGGTTAAATAGTAGCTGTATATGAAATTTGTGAAGATTCTTGATCTCTGGATTTAAAGTTTTCATTTTTTAAAAACAATTTTTTTTAACATTTATTTTTGAGGTGGGGGGAGAGAGCGCATGGTAGTGAGGGAGGGGCAGAGAGAAAGGGAGACAGAATCTGAAGCAGACTCCAGGCTCTGAGCTGTCCGCACAGAGTCTGACACGGGGCTCAAACCCATGAACTGCAGTGCAAGATCATGACCTGAGCCGAAGTCGGATACTTAAGCAACTGAGCCACCCAAGCGTCCCTTAAAGTTTTCCTTTTTTAAAGTAGGTATAATTTACCTTCATCACCTTGGGAGATTATTATCAAGGATTAAGCTTTGTGTATACAGGGTACTGCTATATCTAGAAGAAACTAGTCCTTCATGGTAGCTGCCATAAATTCCTTGAATATATTCACGTAGAAAAAAGTCTCAGTTGAAATATTACTTACTTATGATTTACTTATCAGATTTGGAATTTATTGCTCTCTTATTTCTATATTCAGGACTAACAGAGTCTCACAACTTTTTTCTGCTTTTTTTCAATCTTTTGCTAATGTTTATCATGATTATTGAAAAATTACACATTATGAAGGTACTTAAATATATCAGGGCTAATTATTTCTTTACATGGTTGTGTAAAAGTTAAATGAACCAGATACATTTTTCAAATTAAAGGAACTTAACTGAGAGGATATACAACACCAGCTTAGTGGAGTGTAAATTAACAAGAGATTGATAAGGAAGAAATCAGCCTTCTGCGTTTTTCAGATCAGCAAGAGTAGTGAATATGACTTAAAAAACTGTCTGATCAGAGCTTCATTATGTTGAACTTTTCCAGTTATTTTAGTCGTAGTGCTGTTTCTAGAACATGTTAAAATATTTTTCCCTGTTACTTTATGTGCATTCTGAACTTTGGGGGAAAACTTGAAGTTTAAGTGATAGTTTTAGTATATAATTCTGAAGTTGATCTGTTGACTGAAAAATACTTGTGGAATTCTTAGCATAATTCTGTATCAGTGGTTGTATATAAAGTAGCTGTTTTCTTATATATTTCAACAGTAAAGAGGAGTAGCCTGCAGGCAGATGATTAAATTTTTCTTGAAATCATGTACACTTTGCATATCTGCATTTGTTTTAATTTGATGGGTTTTTTTTAACCACTGAGTAAAATTACGTATATAGCAAGATTTGCCAAATTTGTGTCTTTTCGTGTAGTTCATTTTATTCCATTTTTAGGTTACTGTGAGAACTTAAAAGGGCCTGAGCTTACTGAAATATATTTCACATCTGAGCTCTTTTGCTCTGTTACTTATCAGTGTATTGGAAAATTAAGTTCAGTCTGCTGCCAGTCCAGTAGATGATACGTTTTCTAGGATCTTCAGCTTAAGCTCGTGGAGTATAATTGAACTCTCGCTTTTTGTGATCTTTTAAATCATAAGGATATTGAGGAGAGTTTTGTCTTCCTGAAAAGAATAACTCAGCAGTAGTTGGATGTATGTGTGGTGAAGGCCATAGATGATGAGGGGGCTACTGGAGTCCCCAGGGCTTGGGGAATCCCATCCTGGGCTTTTAATTCAGAGTCAAACCAAGGGCCATAGTGCTGCTTCATCATCCATTGATGGTGTTTCATTCAGCTAAGGCTACAGGACCTCTTGCTGGGAAATCATGTTCTCTTCTTGGCATGAGTCAGCTTCATCTTCCAGCCTGAGAAGAGCATTATCACAGCCCTCCTGGATGGACCCAGGAGAGGGAGGGAGGACTTCATTAGCGCTTGGTGTGTCATTGTCATGCGAAAAAAAGAGCTTTGAAGCCTGGCATGTTTAAGGAGAAGTAAACGTCTTTATGGAAGCCTAGTTACAGAGAAAGATTCACTCCTCCAGTCCTGTTTTTGGTGCCAGGTGGAGAAGTTGCCTGGAGGAAGGTAGGAGTGCCAGCTGAGACGCAGCGATAGCAGAAAAACACCCCGTCCAAGTGCCGTGACTGGCACGTACGACGAACCGATGACCTCGCAGGTCGCAGGCGACCGTGACCCTTAGAGAGGTCAGAGGGATTAGTGGGACTTTGGGGGAAGGCGGAAGGGTATGACGGAAGATGCAGAGGTTCTGTGAAGGCAAGTGGCTGGGTACTGGAACAGGAAGAACTGGCATTCTGTTGCTGTTTTCCTGTTGCGCTATTTTAAACAAAAATGCCACAAGTTTGATAATGTCCTGTTTATATTATAAAATATAGGGCTAGAGGCCAAGGCTTGCTGCTTCTGTCATGAATTCATTATACTGCCAGTTACTAGAATGGAGCTTTCATTCATGAGTGTTAAACTGTCACTGATTGATATTCACAATTGATTTAAAAGTACAAAGGAACGCTTAGGGATTTATGTTCTGCTTCCAATTGTGTAAAACAAAATACAATTTGATTCTGTTTCTCGTTAAATTTGTTCTAATATAAGGATACTAGCTAGCATAAAGTAGAATGTAATAAGTTAGAACGTTTGGAACAAAGAGAATATTTAATACAGTTTTTAAAATTCCACCAAAATATTTAAGTATAATTCCATATTTATATTGGGGCACCTTTTGTAAGTAGTGCCTTGTTATCTTACTGAATGTATTAATTTATGCAAAATAGAGTTTATAATATGATTGCAGTAAAAGAAGCAAAACAGCTTTTTACTATTAAAGTTTTAAAATGTAGGCTCTAGGGGCGCCTGGGTGGCGCAGTCGGTTGAGCGTCCGACTTCAGCCAGGTCACGATCTCGCGGTCCGTGAGTTCGAGCCCCGCGTCGGGCTCTGGGCTGATGGCTCAGAGCCTGGAGCCTGTTTCCGATTCTGTGTCTCCCTCTCTCTCTGCCCCTCCCCCGTTCATGCTCTGTCTCTCTCTGTCCCCAAAATAAATAAACGTTGAAAAAAAAAAATTAAAAAAAAAAAAATAAAATAAAATGTAGGCTCTATTAAAGGTAAAGTTTTATGGGCATTGGGGACTTCAACTAGCATTCCTTTTGCAAATAGTTACTGAGTTTTTTTACATGGACTTCTAACACAGCACTACTGGTAAACAGCTTCAAAGTTTTAGTGATCAAGTTGAGAATGCATGTATTTATGTGAGGGTAGATCATGTTACCTGTTTTTGTTTGTTTATTTGTTTAATGTTTATTTTTGAGAGAGGGGGGAGTATGTGCAGGGGAGGGGCAGAGAGGGAAGGAGAGCGAGAATCCCAAGGAGGCTCTGCCAGCACAGAGCCCTACATGGTGCTCAGACCCATGAACCTTGAGATCATGACCTGGGCCTAAATCAGGAGTCAGACGCTCAACCAACTGAGCCACCCAGGCACCCCCATTTTACCTGTTTTGATCATGCTTGACATTTATTCACGTATTTGACTTTCAGCTCAAGCTACAGTAGTTTTATAGAAGCATTAAAGTTTGCTCATCAATAAATTACTTGTATGCATCTTTTGACTGAGACTTACAATTGCTGTTTTATAGATTTGATGTTATTAAAATCCAGCAACTATTCTTTAATTTCACTTAGTTTTCATTAATTTTGTCCATACAAATAGCTGATTTTTCTGTAGCTTATCTTACAGTTTACTAATTAACATGGCTCAAAGCATACACTGCTCAATAAAAAAGAGAAATGGCCCTTGTGGAGATGGTTCTGTAGTTTTAAAGAGAGGCTTAATGATCCACTATCTGAAGATAACTTAGTGTGGTGCTGCTGGGACGTGTACAAATAAAGAAGTTAATGTCCTTACTGAAGTGGCGACCCCCGCAGAGTTCCCTGGGGACTAAAAATCCAGACTAGTTGAACCTCAGTGCATTATTGTGTCCAAGTAGAATTCAAGTAGAGCAACTCAACGAACTCTGAGTTCTACTTTCAAGTGGAATTACTGAAATAAGTCAAAGTGGATTTCTTTGGAAGGCGTGTTATTGAGGGGGAAGAGGATACATCTAGATGAAAGTTTAATCTTAACACTTCACATAAAAACATAAAATTGGCAGTGACGTCAAACTTGTTTCCACAGAGTTTATTCTATATTTAGGGGCTATTTACCTGGAATAATTGCTTGGCCAATGAGGTTTGAACACTTCTTAAGGTTCTTTGAGTGCGTATTGCCATGTTGCAGTCTAGAAAGCTTATCCCATTTATATATATTCCCATTGTTCATATGTAGGTCCCTTGATAAATTCAGGATCATTTTGTGTTCTGGCCAGTTCCTAATTAGATCATATGCCACTTAACATCTAGAACATACTTAGGCTTGCATTAGTCCACTGCTAAGGTTTCAAGGGAGTTGGGTAACTTTTATCATCTCCTTTGTTTGTTCTCAGGCGTTATTGTATGTAGGTTTTCTTTCGGCTTAGCTAGTATGGCCTCTCCATCTCTAGTAGTAGAGTTATTATTAGAAGCAGCACCCTGAAAGTTGTACAGTTTATTATGTGAGTTTTTTCCTCATTTTGTCCCCAAACCTACCTCCCATGGTTTCAGAACCCTGCCTTTTTTCTCATAGACACCTTAATAATTATTAAATCAGTATGGTAGGCAAGTCCTGCTCAGATGTTTTTTAACCAGTTTTTCTTTGGGGAAAAAACTTGAAAGTCCTATTTCTCTGTGTGGTCTTCTTTAACATTACTTTGACTTTTGGGTAGCAGTAGACTATCGATAATGACATGGGGTTTGCCAGGATGGCCTAATCCTGTGATTCTTAAGCACTTGGGGAATCACAAATCCACACCTCCTTGTAAGTATGCTATGATTTGTAACATACACACCAAAAGGAGATGCATGCACATGAAATGAAATGATTTTATGGAGGAAAATTATTTTTAAGTAACTCTAAAGAATTGATGTCATCAAGAAACTTTTATCACACTAACTGTATTCTGTTGTAGAAGAAACCTGTGAAATGTAATTTTTTCATTTCCTCCATTGTTCTAAATATATATCCAGAACCATAGTAATTTCACCCCAGAATTCCAGAAAACTCTAAGAAATCACAAGCATGTATCTGGTTCTGTAACAAGTTTATAAGGAGTTTTTACATTTTTTATGCAATTTTATTTGTTACAACTTTGTCTTATCTAGATTAATATGCAGGAGTAAAAAAAAAAAAAGGTAATTGAGGTTTGGGAGTGTTAAAAACCTTTCCACTAGAACTCATCTTTGCGGGTTTGCTCCCCAGCTCTGCCACCCGACTCCTAAATTCATTACCCCTTCCACCACAGGATGCTGACTTTGTAGAAGAATATTAAACTCAGGATACTTATTCAAATTCACCTGTCAACCTTATATGCTTTGCTTATGTTTGCTTCAGTTCTAGCGATTGAGCCGTGTGCGGATCATCTAAATGTCTTGAAAAATATTTCAGTAACCTCAAACCTCCATGTTTCTTCTCCGTTTGCTAGTTAGCAGTCTTGGCAGCTGCCCAGTGAAAAGAAGGATTTTGGTTTTAGATATGTGAATGATTCTAAAATATTACCCTGTTAGTGGCTCCCTAGTAAGTTTTAAGACCTCCATGAGGGCCTGGCGGTACGAGTCCTTTAATTTTTTAGTTGTGCTTATGGACATTTCTGCCCATGTGCTCTAGTTTGAGCTGAGTCTTCTACTACTAGTGTTCTTCCCGGCTCTCTTGCGGCAGATCCCACCCACCCTAGCCTCGAGAACTCTCCTAAGTGCCGTTTTCTCAGTAAGCTTCCTTTGTCTTTGCTGTGGAATTAAACCCTTTTTAAGTCCCACAGGGAATCTTTGGCGTCATTTACACTTTCTGTCCATGTCTAATCTTCCTTCACAAAATGTAAAAGCTGTAAGAGCAGGCTCTATATCTGATTCATCTTCTGTGTCAACTGCTTGCATATATAGGCATCTTCCCTTAATGGCAGTTTTCTGTTCCTGAAAATCAAATGTTCTGGGAAAAAATACTAATGAGAATCCCATTTACTTACTGTTTAAGAAGAAAAATTGCGTGACATGTTACTCTCAAAGCCCAACCAGTTTCCTAAAATATATCTAAAATCCATCGTGTATTTACATAAAAAAAACCTAGCTACCATATTAGTATGTAAATGATTTAAACATTATTCCCTGGCAATAAAAGGTTCAAATGATTCTTGACGGTTAGTATGCAGTGATGTTTTGTTTGAGACTGTACTCTTTTTAAAAAAAATATCTACAGTTGATTCTTAAGATTTGCCAGATCTTGGAGTATAACTTGAGATTTGACCCCCCACCCGCCCCCTAGCCTTCATGTGCCATTTTGTTTAAAATGTTGAGTTTTGGTGATACAAAGTTTCCTTATAAATATTGTCAGAAAATATTGAAATATTGAAAGAAAATACTGAAATGTTGTAGAGTTTGGATAATAACCAAATAGTGTTCTGTAAGGGAGGCATTTCTGTAAGGTAAGCTTGAGTTATTTCGTTATTTTTCTTTTGATGCTATGCTTAGGTTTAAGAAATCAAAACATAATGTGATTGAATGATAACCTGAAGTAATAGCTTTTGTTGAGAAAGAAATTTGCTGTAATGGACTAGATGAAATTTTGAATTGAGATCTTAAATGTTAATTTGTCTTGATATTGCATTGGCTGTTAAGGATGAAACCTTATTTTTAGTTTATTTACTGGATTGAAATTCATTGTTCAGTAGAAGTTCGTGGCTATTTTTTTTTAAGTTTATTTATTTTGAGAGAGAGAGAGAGCGAGAGTGAGCGAGCGCACGTGAGTGCAGGGGAGGGGCAGAGAGAGAATACCAAACAGGCTCTGCGCTGTCAGCAAGGAGCCTGTTGCAGGGCTGGAACTCAGGAACCATGAGATCATGATCTGAGTTGAAATCAAGCGTCAGACGCTTAATTGGCTGAGCCACCCAGGCACCCTGTTACAGCTGTTTTTACTGTCATTTGAATTTTACCTGTTTTGTAATACAATTTATGTACTACTTATTTCTTAACAGGTAGTTGTGTCAACTAACATCGCAGAAACATCTTTGACAATAGATGGTGTGGTATTTGTGATCGATCCTGGATTTGCAAAACAGAAGGTACATATGTTGGTACTTTAGTTGTATACTTTATTAGTGTTAGCTTCACAGTACTTACTATCTACTCATGTAATGACTGGAATTTACTTTTTAGAATTTTCTGTTGTGTTTTGTTTTCAAACGTCAGTGGTGATGAGCTCTTTCTGTTCTAGCTGGCTCTCATTTAGTAAGCCCAGGCATGATGTTTAGTCCTAGGCTGCTTTTCTGTTTCCTGTAAGATTGCTTTGGCCTTTTTGTTTTTGTGTAGTAATAAGGGAACAGGATTGTCATCCCTGTAGATCAGTCACTTCCCCTTTGAAATTAGGGTTTCTGTTATTGCCAGGCATAGTATCTGAAAAGGTGTTAATTTCTAGTTTACAGTACTGAATACCAAGCACTTTGGCCAAATGGAGTGACTACTCAGTAAATAGTGTGTATGTTCTATTATTCACAGATCTTTGATTATATTTGATTACATTTTGTAGGTATAATTGGGAGAATTTGTTACACGTAGTGTTTGTGTCTCTGATGGAAATTTTTCTTTTTAAATTGGCAGTATGTAACTGATTTCTTGTGGATTAGGTTCAAAATATATTTCTTGAACGTTCACTGTGAACATCAGGTGTTGAAATTGACAGGTTCTTTTCAGGCAAAAGCTTTCAACGCTGTTTGTCCACTCTATTAAAGCAAGATAAAACTGGTAGAGCTGAAATTATTTTATTTATTAATTTTTTTAACTTATTTTTGAGAGGCAGAGACAGAGCACGAGTGGGGGAGGGGCAGAGAGAGAGAGAGAGAGAGAGACATAGAATATGAAGCAGGCTCCAGCCTCTGAGCTGTCAGCACAGACCCTGACGTGGGGCTTGAACTCACGAACTGTGAGAGCATGACCTGAGCTGAAGTCGGGGATGCTTAACCGACTGAGCTACCCAGGTGCCTGAACTGAAATTATTTTAAATTCAGAAGAAAAAGATGATGTAATCTCTGTGTATAAGAGCCTTTTCATCTTAGCTTGAGTCTTCAGAATGATAGAGTCAGAATATCTGAAAGAAAGTTAAGGCACAGGATGACTCATTCTCAGTTTCCATTTCAGTGTGATTTACAGCCTTCATTAATACTACTTTGTTTATTGTGGGTTTAGCTGTGGACTTTGTATACTTTATGTTAGATTACAGTTTTGTGTTTAACTGAAGAAAAAATTCTGAACGTTATTTCCATTCCAATAGGTGTACAATCCTCGTATCAGAGTTGAGTCCCTTTTGGTGACAGCCATTAGTAAAGCTTCAGCTCAACAGAGGGCTGGTCGAGCTGGGCGTACCAGACCTGGGAAATGCTTCAGACTTTATACCGAGAAAGCTTACAAAACAGAAATGCAGGTAAGGGGGTTTGCTGTATACTTACTATGTGTTTGGAAGGTTAAGTTGAACTTGTTACCAGAAGAAAATTGTCTTATTTACCTCATCCTGCCTTTTGGCACCATTACCTCCTTACTTTTTCCCTGAGGGAGATTTATGGTGTAATCTACCAGTATAGCTCTCTGTTAACAGTTCTAAGTTGAAGTGAACAGCAGCAGAAACACTTTGAACCTTATAAAGCTAGTTTCACAGAATCTGATCCCTTTCGGGTATGTTCCACATGTATTTTTCTCCTGTGATCAGTGGTTTAGAAGTAATGCCAAAGTAAATAGCCAAAGAGGCAGAGAACAGATATGTTTTGTTTTCTGGAGCAAGAGGATTAAGGCATGTTTAACAGAATAAACGTTTTTGTTTTTTGCTAGGATAACACCTATCCTGAGATTTTGCGTTCTAATTTAGGATCAGTAGTGTTACAGTTGAAGAAGCTTGGTATTGATGATTTGGTGCATTTTGACTTTATGGATCCACCAGGTATGAATCCTCAAAGCGTATTTTAGCAAATGTTGTAACCAGAATTCACCAGCTCTGCATTGTATTCTTTACCCACATGCACACACGCACATAACACCCCCTTTTTTTCTTCTGTGTGCATCCAGAGAAGTCTTGTATATTAGGATTAAAACTAAGGAAGTGATAATTATATGAGAAAATTTGTCTTAATTTTTTTCTTTCCTTGGAATAACTAAATTATTCTCGGAATTATTGATTACATAGGAAAATGAGAACTTTCCTTATTTTTTTTATTTGAGAGGAAGAGCGAGCATGCGTGTGTGTGTGTGGCATGGGTCAGGGAGAGGGGCAGAGTGAGAGAGAGAGAGAGAGAGAGAGAGACAGAAAGAGAAAGAATCCCAAGTAGGCTTTTTGCTCAGCACGGGGGCTGATGCAGGGCTTGATCCCACAACCCTGTGATCACGGCCTGAGGCAAATCAAGAGTCGGATGCTGAGCTGATTGAGCCACCCAGGCACCTCTGTTTCTAATTTTATTTTTGCGAACAATTATTTAATTTACTTAGGAAGATGACAGTTTTATCTCCTGTGCAGGGAAATTTTGCAAGTTTATATGATTCATAGTTTGCTAGATCTCTGTAACCGAATTTGATGACAGGTTGAGTTTTGAGTTTGGTCCACTGTAGAATGAAAAATGAGATTGCTTGTAATAGTTTCTACTTTATCACATTTTTGCTTATTAAGGCAGTTTGTTTAATAGATTGCCTTTTCCCCCAGCTCCTGAAACTCTGATGAGAGCCCTAGAACTTTTGAATTACCTGGCTGCTTTAAATGATGATGGAGATCTGACCGAATTGGGATCCATGATGGCAGAGTTTCCTCTAGACCCACAGCTCGCTAAAATGGTTATTGCAAGTTGTGACTACAACTGTTCTAATGAGGTCCTATCTATTACTGCTATGTTGTCAGGTAATAGAGGGAAAGGAACTAAACAAAGCCCAGCTCTTCACAGTTTGGGTGGACTTCACATTTGGTTTTGTTTTTTAATATTTAGCATGATAGCGGATTTTATAGATGGTTTTGAGGAACTCCTTTTGTTTCCTAAATATCTTGTAAATAGCTTTATAAAGACATAATATTTACAGAAGTAAAGTAATTCGTTGTGCACAAAATATAGTAAAAACATTGGCTCTCTTGAGTGCAGTAAAATTGCAGTAAGGGAAGAGTACGTCTGAACACAGTTGTAACTGACTTCTTTGATAGGTCCATCAGTTTTGTGGTTTATTACTGAAAGTACAAGAAGAACCTGTTCCAGTACTTGGCACTGTTAAGTGAGCCTGAGACAAACCCAGACAACTGTCCTTAAATTGAGCTTTTCTAGTGGCAGTCAAACAAAACATGAATTTTAAACTTAGTATCAAGTAAATAGAAGTAGTAATGTATAATTTTAGGCTTAGAATCTAATCTGACAGTTCTTTTACAGTGGCAGAAAGCACTTGATAAAAGAAATATACCTGAAAGATAAAATGGCTAATTTTGGAAATTAGAGCATTAAGCTGAACAAATCATGCTGTTTTTAGTAGCAGTAAAACATAATCCACGAATGAACTACAACTTGGAAATTAGATTTTCCAAAAAGAAGAAATACGGCTCATTACGGTTCACTGATTCTCACAGCTAAAAATAGAAGACATCTTACGTTTTTACTGATGGTCAAAGTATTCTATACTACTAGTTCCAGTACTGGGGAGAATGACTTCCAGTTTCAGAGTGGTTTATTAGTCTTAATTACAAACTTAATGCCTCAAATGATTCAAAATCTTACATGGAATTAAAGGATAAGTTTAAAAGATTTCTAAATATAGCAATTTTGGCTTAGTTTAGATGTATGGTATGTTTTAATGGTGTGACTTTTTTTATTTAAGAACTAGCTAAAATGTTTTTTTGCAGAGTTATGACTGATCAGACTCAGAGCAGATGGGCAGGGCAGTAGCGAATCATTTTAATAAAATTGTAGTCTCACTTGCGGAGGTGGTGGTAGGTTGTTGTCTGCCTTTCTTACATGTTTCTGTTAGATGCTCCCAGTTGTACTTCCACAAGATTTTCGTTTGTAGAGAAAGTGTGGGGCAAGAGTTAACAGACTGTTTGTGTATTTATTGGTTATCTGCTCGCTTTTTATTCTTCCAGTTTCTCTATCAGGCATTCTATATAATTACCATCGAGTGAGTCTAGATTCTTAGGGTTTTAAAAAAACTGGTCATTGTGACACAGTTGAAATCTTCCAACTGTACCTTTTACTTGTAATAAGGAGCTCTGCAAAACGTAGGGGTTTATTAGCATATCAAGAAAATGGACATTTATGTGTAGCAGTTATTACTAAGCATGACGCTTTTGGGGGGACAATGTTAAAGGGTGAGGAAGAAGTCATGGAACAAAAACAGTTTGCCCAGCTTATAATGCTTTGATTTTCATTTAAATAGTTTTTGAAGTTTTCAGGTCCTGATGTAAATATTGCAAATCAAGGGCCTTACAGGGTGCTACTTATTCCCACTGTTCATTCTGGGAGCTAGTTCTCATTAACTTTCACATCTTTGAGAGGTTTCTGTACTTTTACGCATTACCTTGCTTCAGTTACATTAAGCAAGACATTTAATTATTACTTATTGTGATCATGTGTCATTGTCTCTCTTGGCTTCTTTGGTATCTTTTTAAAGGGGAAACTGTATGGGAAAGTAAATTGATACTGTATTTGATCTTGTTGTTGGTTATTCCCATTATCTTCTATCTGGACTGATCATTTATACTTTTTTATATTGACACGGTTTTAAGAGCTTTAAAAAAATGTGTTGACAAAAGTCCCAAGCTGTTAAGTATTTTTATTTTCATATTGCTTTTATGACTATGGAATTGCTAAAGTGAATTAAGGAAAGTTGTATTTTAAAAATGTAGCGCACGCTTTGTAACAACTTAAAAATTTATGTGAAATAACATCAAGGCTCTAAACAAATACTGTAGTTACATATTTTGATGACCCTTGAAATGATGACTGTTTCAGACTAATTGTCAACTTTTTAAATACTGGATTTTGCTTTTTATATTGAGGTTTTGATTCAAATAACAGTTTTTTTTTTTTTTTAAACTTGGGACGTCATTCTCTAATCTTTTTATTAAAATGCTGGAAAACTAGGCTGAATCTCCCCAGCCTTTTTGAATTTTCTTAATTCAAAGGCGGTTTAACCTTCCACCACTACTGCTATCCTCAAAACCCAAGATTTCATGATATTTTTTATGTTTACATATGCTTCTGCTCACCGGTGCTAATAGTGATACCCACCAGTTGGTAACAGCCACAGCACTAGGGAAAAAATTACAGTAGAAACGTGCCAATAGATCGGTTAGAGAGTTGTTTTTAGCCCTGCAGTGGGCAAATAGAGCTTCGTAACTTCCCTAGCCACTCAGTGGATTCGACGGATGGCCTTTTGAAAAATTACATTTAGCTTAAAGGCTATTGACACCATAATTCTGGTTATTGGTAGAGCTATCGGCACTGGTTTTTGAACTAAGTTGAGCTTTCTATCTCTAGTATCTTGATGGCCTTCAGAATAGCTGTTTTGATGCCTACTTTTAGATCTAGTTAAAATAATCAGGTGCTCTGTAGCTTTGAAACCCTCTTGTCTTACAGATGTGGTTAGGTGTTGATGTACCAAATCAAGGTAGTAAACAGTCCAAGATGCAGTTGGAGGCCATCCTGCCCTGCCCTATGCTCTGTGAACTGACCTAGCTAGGCCTTGTTCCTCTATCTGTGAATGCGTGACTCATCGATATGGGCGTTTGTGTTGGGCCCATACCAACCTTGTTTAGTCCCACAGTGTTTTGTTCGCCCCACGGAGGCCAAGAAAGCCGCAGATGAAGCCAAGATGAGATTTGCCCACATAGATGGAGATCATCTGACACTGCTGAACGTCTACCACGCCTTTAAACAAAGTAAGTGTAAATTAGATTGAAGGCACTCTTTTGTCTAAATGTCACTTGCAGCGCGTAAGATGTTTCTTCATCTCACTTTCATTTATTATCCGTGACAACTTTACATTAGAAACCCAGAGGTACTTTAGGAAAAACTCCTGACTAGCATTTAAAATAGAAATTGTCTATCTTTTTCAAAGTTGTTTGCACTTGTAATCAGGGGAAAAGCACCGATTATAGAAAGCTGGAAAATACAGGACAGTAAAAACAAAATACCAGTATAAAATTTACTACTAACACAGACATTTTGTATACTTTCTTTTACTGTTTATTTTCATACCGTTTGTATTTTTGTAATTTTGTATTATTTATAGAATCTTTATTGCTTAATAATTTTACTAGTAAATAGCTCTTAAATAAATATAAAACTGGGCGCCTGGGTGGCGCAGTCGGTTAAGCGTCCGACTTCAGCCAGGTCACGATCTCGCGGTCCGTGAGTTCGAGCCCCGCATCGGGCTCTGCGCTGATGGCTCAGAGCCTGGAGCCTGTTTCCGATTCTGTGTCTCCCTCTCTCTCTGCCCCTTCCCCGTTCATGCTCTGTCTCTCTCTGTCCCAAAAATAAATAAACGTTGAAAAAAAAAATTAAAAAAAAATATAAAACTGACAAAACAGAAGACTGGGCTGCAGATGTGAATGATCATTCTCAGTCAGGTACAAGTGGTCTATAAGCGGGAGGAAAAGTCAACTTTATTTGCAGTTCAAGAAGAGCCATTATTATTGAGAGGTACCATTTTCTCACCTATAAAATTGGTTACAGAAAGGAGGTTATAGAAAAATAGCTCTCAGGTGTGTAGGAGTGGGTTTAGTGGAACAGTCCTTCACTGGAGGTGGGAATAGAAGTTGATGTTGTCTTTATGAAAAGCAGATTTTATGTTATCAAGAACCTTAACAAGTTCATACCGTTTGACCCAGAAATAATCTATGCAGTTACCTTTCAGTATCCTGTGGACACAGATATAATTAATGACTTCACCTCAGAATTATTTATGATAGTAAAAAAAAGGGGGGGACTACCTAAATTGCCCACGAGTAGAAAGATAGTTCAGTGATTTACGCTATAGCCACATGGTAAAGTGTTGTTCTAACTTTAAATCATGTTTTCGGAGAGTATTTAGTGACGTGAAAAACATTTTCCAGTTGTTTGAAAACAAGGAAATGCGGTAATCAAGTTACTGCCTGATACTGTTGTTGGAATCGACCATTTATAAAAATTAGAAAGTTAAAGAAAAATGCAGAAAAAATTGAAACAGGTTGTGAAAATGTTTGATATTTATGTATCAGTTTACCTGTTGGGTGACACGCAGTCAAAGAATGGTAGCTTTACATCATCACCCTTTACCAAAACTGGGGTTCACAATCACCGTTAAGTCTGTGTTTTCTGCTGTTAAGAAAATGGTTCCCTAATTTATAGCCTTGATAAATTTTTCACCTCTGGTTTTCTTTGCAACTCATTGTTATCTCCTAAAAATCTCTGTATACGCCTAAAATAGTGTGTTGATTTTGGCACATCTCCTTTGGGGTGGGGGTGAATTTATTTATGTCAGAGTCTAAAAGTGCTGGAGAGCCCGTGAGTGGAGCAAAGAGCAGAGCTGCCAAAGTCCTGCACGTCTGTGCAGGTAGGAGTTGACTAGAATTGATAAATAATCTGTTTAAAAAAGGAAAAAAAAAAAAAAAGATGAAGGCCAGTATACAGTTTACTTCAGAACATTTATCCCTCTCATGTGCAAAGTATTGATAATGCATCATGTTTAAAGATTTTATTCCGGGGGTAGGTTAGTCCAAGAAATACTCTGTATTCCTTTGTGTGTCGAAGTGTACCGTGGTGGTTGATGCTGGGCGACCACCAGACACATAACCTGTGGACGGACGATGAGAAGAGGTGGAGGGGGGAGGGCCTTGGAAAGGAAGGCTCCTGTGCCGTCAGAAGGAGCAGATTCATATCCATCTTGCCTCTCAAAATCCTTTGGTATCATTAAGATACTGTTTTAAGTGGGATTTAAAAGATGTCTAAAGGAGCAGCGCGGGTTTTTACCGTATGGTCTCACAAGACATTTGAATGTTCTTTGAAATTAGGAGATTGTGTTATTTTGTTCTGTACGTTTTGATAATTGGCACAGCAGTCAGCGTATTTGGATTTCATAATTTGCCCTGAAAATAAAGTGTAGGGCGCCTGGGTGGCTCAGTTGGTTAAGCGTCCGACTTCAGCTCAGGTCATGATCTCGTGGTTTGTGAGTTCGAGTCCCACATCGGGCTCTGTGCTGACCGCTCAGAGCCTGGAGCCTCCTTTGGATTCTGTCACTCTCTCCCTCTGTCTCTGACCCTTCCCTACTCTCTCTCTCTCTCTAAAAAATAAATATTAAAAAAAATTAAAGTTTGGATTGATAATAGAACTATGCATTTGGATTTTAAATATGAATGTAATAATTCAGAAGTTTAATACTTCAAATGATAAAGTTACTAAGTAATGCTTATCTTTACATGTTGGCAGTTGAGGGCTTTCTATGAAAATATTGTACAGTAGGTATCTATAAAAGTTTTATCCTACCTTTTTTTTTTTCTTTTTTTTTAAATTTTCCATTTCGAGAGAGAGTGAGCACTTGTGGGGGAGGGGCAGAGAGAGAGAATCCCAAGCAGGCTCTGGAGGGTCAACACAGAGCCCAACATGTGGGTGGAACTCAAGAACCATGACATCATGACCTGAGTAGAAATCAAGAGTGGAACCCTTAACTGACTGAGCCACTCGGGCTACCTGCCCCCCCCCGCCCTCCCCCTCAGTACGATTAGTGGAGGGAGTATCGTGAGTGAGACTGGTAGCATCCACTTAACTACATACTTGATGCTTGTCTACTACGTGCTTCTCACTGCCACAGGGATGGTAAGCTGTTGGGTGGTTTTAGACCTTTTGTGGTATATGCTGGTCTTAATAAATAAGGTCAAAGGCAGCAGAATGACTGAACACTTGGTAAGTGTCTCCAAAGGATTCAGCCTTTAATTACTGACCTATTTTCAAATAAGGAGAGCCATTAAAAAAATAGTGTCAGACTTTGAGATCTCCTTATAATACTTGGACATTTCATATCCATTTGTTGAGTTTGGAATATTTTCACTAATTTTTAAATGATGCTAGGTTTTAATTAAAACAAGTATGTTTGAAAAATAGCAACTGTGTTTCAGGTATTAGTCAAGAGGAACCCTTTCATCACAGACAATGGTTGATTATACAGTGCAGCTAAAATTCATCTTAATACTGTTGAAATAGAAACAAGGGGATTTAAGTTAATTTGCAGCACCTTGATTTCTGTATGTGTATATATGATTTCACTCTGAAATGATTGGATTTTAGATCTTAAAAGTAGCTTACTGGATTGGTAAGAAATTTGTAACTAGCATTATTTTAAGAATATGTTTCCATTTGTAGGTTTTATCTATCAAATTATTTCTCACATATTTAGAAAATACAGATAGTATTTGTTTATTGACAACTTGAATTGCCATTTTGTTACCCTTTAGGGTATGAATTCTGAAATTTATAACTCCAGAAAGCTATACTCGTGGTCAGAGTATGCACATCCTTTTCAAAAGGCCCCCTTTTTTATTGTCTCAGTTTGGACATTACCATTGCTTTTCAGCTCAGTACATTACAGCAGCATAAGCAAGAATACCTCTAAAGCATACTTTCTTTGTCTTCTCTCTGGAAGATACTTGGGGCTTTGTTTAAATCTCAGTAAGTTCAGATGGATACTGCTGCTCATTCTAGATGGGTGAATTAATGGTCTTGAACACATCAGTTCTTCAATTGAAAGATCGTTTACTACCCCACCTACCCACCCACCCTTTCTGAATTGTGGCTGCATTTTGTAATGGGCAAACATTTATTAATATATTGGTTGTTTTTTGAAAAGCAATTAAGAAAATATTGTATGTTATAATTGGTAGAATACTAGAACTAAGGAGAAAAGAAAGTGCCAAAGATTAATGTACATTACAGAAATGGTAGGAAGTATCAACAGTTTTGATTTTTAAGGAAACCCCCCCCCCCCCCCCCCCCCCAATTTCACAGTAACCCTCTTAGGTTTATTTATCAAAAGGCCTCTGAAGTAAATAATGAAGTTTTCCATTGTGACTCTCTGGGACATAAAAATGTCACTGTATAATATTTTCTATTATGCTGCAGTTTGAGCTCTTTGATTAGATGAGAAGACAGTGGATTGGTTGGAAGCTTGTCAAGGAGTCATCAGTGGAGAGATACCCTTTGATAATAAATACATGGATTGAAATTATTTGAGGGGCGCCTGGGTGGCTTAGCTCGTTACAGCCGCCGAATTTGCAGCCAGGTCACGGATTCAAGGTCCGTGGAGTTCCTGAGTCTGCCAGGCTCTGGGGCTGATGGCTCAGAGCCTGAACCTGTTTCCGACCTCCTGCCCCCTGCCCCTCCTGCTCATGCTCTGTCTTCCCTCTGTCCCAAAAATAAATAAACGTTGAAAAAAAAAATTAAAAAAAAAAATTATTTGAAGTGTTCAGCTTTGTTTATTAATACTAATTAATAAGCCTTGTTTATTAAACATGAGTGGGGATTCCAGACATCCTTATAAACTATATCACTTGTATTTTAATTTTTTTTACTTCTATAGTACAGCTCTTTATTTGATTGTAAGTTTTTATTTTAATTCCAGTTAGTTGACGTTGTTACATTAGTTCGGGTGTATAATGTAGTGAATAATTCCAACACACCCGTACATCATCCTGTGCTCATCACTATTCATAGGGATACACGCACCCCTATGTTTATAGCAACGTTACTTGACAGTAGCCAAGATAAGGAAGCAGCCCAAGTGTCTGTCAGTTGATAAATGGATGAAGAAGAGGTGGTATATATACACAGGGGAATATTATTCAACCTGAAAAATGAATGAAATCTTGTCGTCTGCAACAACATGGACAGAGCTAGAGAGTGTAATGCTAAGGGAAAGAAGTTGGAGAAAGACAAAACCATTAATGCTTTCTTTCACTCATGCAATTGAAGAAACAAATAAGCAAAGGAGAAAAATTAAGGGAGGGGCAGATCAAGAAACAGACTCAATTAATTGAACAAATTGATGATTACCAGAGGGGAGGTGAGGGGGAATGAGTTAACAAGTAGGTGGTGGGGATTAAGGAGTGCATTTATCACTCGAACTTTAGATCTTGTTTGGCCAACACCAAGAGGCACATGGGTTGCAGTGAAACTTCGAAACACTTCAGGTTTCACAGTAGTCACTTGAGTTCACTTTTACAACTTCTAAATTGTTTTTGGTAATCTTAATCTAAGGCTGTCTTTTCTTTGAAAATGAGAAAGACCTGGATGGCATTTTATCAAATTCCCTCAACTCAGTCTGTTAGACTGTATTAGAAACAACCAGGTGGATGTTCGTGGATAAAATAACTTCATTAAAAATAGTGTATTCAAAATCCGTTTATTCAAAGTCACAAAATCCGCTAGCCAGAAACCTTAGTGCTGTTTCTGATTTTGTACTTCACTACAGATTTTTGGGAAAGTTGATAAAATTTTGATTTGTTTTTACCGCTGATGTGGGTAATTCTCCTTTTTGGATTACTTAGTTTACACTTAATAATGATTTGCCTTTTTAATTAGATAATATACCTATTTGGATGATTCATGTCCGCTTTCTTTCCCCCTCCCTCCAACTTTGTAGATCATGAATCGGTTCAGTGGTGTTATGACAACTTCATTAACTACAGGTCCCTGATGTCAGCAGATAATGTACGCCAGCAGCTGTCGAGAATTATGGACAGATTTAATTTGCCTCGTCGAAGTACTGACTTTACAAGCAGGGACTATTATATCAATATACGAAAAGCTTTGGTTACTGGGTATTTTATGCAGGTATGTGGATAATGCACGCATACATAATTAAATGTTTACCTAATATTGTTTGCTTTAACAGCCCTTTGAATCTCCTTAAACACAAGGTAAAGAATGCCTCTGATTATTGATTTTAAATGTTATGTCCAGATTCTCGAATCAACTGATAATGCTAAGAAATTTTATGTGTCTAATGAGTAACAGATTAATTTGCTAAACAGCAAAGTCAGTAATCCAGTTACATAGAAATCAATTTGGAGTTAACTTTTTAATTACCCGTCTTTTTTTTAATACCAAATGAGGTGCTAGCCATTTTCAGGTGGGATTAACGATTTCTTCAATGTAAATTTCAATTCTTGGCTTTTGATAAACATATTGAAAAGTTTCTGTGACTAGATCTTAACTGGGGATGTATAAACAATGCTGAAGTGAGGCATTTGTCTGTGTGCATCCAGAAGTACAGTTCACTTTCCTCTCTGTAGAAACTAAAGACTCTAAAAGTCAAATACTCAGACAGCTGTATTTGATTCACAATGCTGTGGAATGATTATTGGTATTTACAACTGAGACACGGGTGCTGGGAAAAGACAAAAATGTTATTTTAAGTGATAAGATGAAAAGTAATTTAAAACGTTTCATTTAGTGTGAAGTGTGATATATATAGTGGGGACTCTACTAACTGAAGTACAGCTTGTCAGGTAAACATAGCAGACATTTATTTTAAAGGATTTAAAACATTATGTTTAAAAAAAACTCTGTGGTTGCAAAATTGAAAACAAATCAATCCATTACTTGGGATTGGATTGATTTTAATTATGTCTTCTATCTCCTGGTTGTTTTCTCATTCTCTATTTTGGCTATGTCTATTAAGCAAGATGTGGCCTGCCTTAAGGCCAGATGAGCTGAATAAATAGAACGGACCCAAATGTGCAAAATCAAAATAAGAATTGATTGGTGCATAGTCTGTAGTTGAAATCATAGTGACAGTAAGAACTTTTATTGTGACATCTTCCAAGATTGCGTGCTTATTAGAGTTAGGAAAATAATAGAGCTAGGTATGAAAATTCATTCTTCAGACTCTTTATTCTTCATATTTAATAGGTACTAGGATACAGTGGCTTCTTTTTGACATATTCTTAGATTTGCTTCTAATTCAGAAAAGATTGGCAAAGCCATATTCAAGCATAATGGGTTTCTAATTCTCTCAGGATTAAACTTTGTTAGAAACACGGCATACGGGGCGCCTGGGTGGCGCAGTCGGTTAAGCGTCCGAC